TGGAGGGGAATTTCTGAAACAGCTTACACTTAAAGGCCCTGCTTTGTGCTTAGTTCAGAGCTAGGAACGCTGAAATGACCACTAATGACCAAGCATGCTTCAAACAGATCTCTGGCAATGGGTGGGGGAAGGAGGCTATTCATTCCTTCTTCCTCCCCTAGGGTGGTCCAAGATACTAAGGCTCATTATACATTCTGATGTCCAAGTTTATTTCAAAGAAAGGGATATTCCCAGTGGAGTAGGCACACAGGGCTCACAGGGCCAATAATTCCAGCAGAGACACAACAGAGGAGATGCTACGATTCACAGGATTGCAACAACCAGACCCAAGGCACCACCAAACACTGTGACGGTCAACACCAGAGCCCACTGTATGCCGTCCCGGCTGAGCAGCTGGAAGCAGCGTGGCTCCCTCTGAGCAAAGGTATCCAGCACTCTGAAGCAAAGCAGAGGAGCTTAAAATGCCAACCACAAGAAAGCGAAAGCTTTCACCACAAACCAGTAGTAGAGAAGGAATCCTGGTCATGGGCTAGGTGTGTTGTCATTGTTTATCCTGTTACACACAGGCAGTAGTGTACGAGAAGCAGTAGCATCTTCATAAACAAACATCGTTTATCAACTTCAAACATATACCGCCGGGGGCTGCTTTGCAAGGAATAATCTTCACACGCTAAAACACAGCCTTAGAGCAAGGGTGTCTGAGCCTGGGCTGGGAGGGTGAGTTTGCATGTGGGGACCAAAAGTAAGAGCCTTCTCTTCTCATTTTTCCCTCAGCTTTCACAATAGCACGTGCAGCCACCTCTAAACTGCAGAGGGCAGTTTAGAACTTGCACATTTGTTCATTTTTTATTCTTGAGAAAAAGGAAAAAGGAAGTTTATTGCTTTGCTAGAAAAAAAGAAACAAAGAAGACTCCTGTCCCAGAGGCTGTGATTCTGCCCATCAGCAGGAACAGGGGGCTTTTAAAGAGGCAATTCAAAGGCTACATTCCACGTGTTCTCTGTTGGAGCTGTAATTCACTTGTTAATTTTGGAGACAGTCATTTCTGAGATCTTCTGGTGCCATCCCCAAAGTCTAGATTATTTCCTCTCTATAGTGGGTGTATGCTCAAGGACAGATAAAGCTACCTAAAATGGAAGAAAGGGAATTCTGTTTCTCCTGAGATCAGGGAAGAACCAGGAGAGGAAGAGAAGCATGTCTATTTTAAAAATTAGTTGCAGTGGTAGAGCAGCAAGGGCTACATTCAATGCAGAAAGGGGGCTACTGTTACATTTCCCCCACTGTCAATTTCTACATTCCATTTCTATGGAAAAATGGGCAACAACATCTCCATGTTGCTTCCTGCTAAGAGAAGGCGAAGTTGGGGGATGTAACCCAAAGTAGGACTGCCATGTTTTAAAATGGCTTTAAATGCAGCACATTCCCACCTCTAAAATGGCTTTCTTTCTATTTTGTCACTTTGGAGGCAGGAGGTATGTGAGAAAATGGATATTGTGGGATAGACAACCAAGATGCTCAGATAAGAGGAGGATTGGTTGATCACCTTGGAAGAGATCATTTGCTCCTTGCAACTTATGAAATAGTTGAGATACCAACTATAAAAATGCAAATAAATATCATCACACCTTCTTAAGTATTTCCCCTGGAGTATGCAATAACTTTTTGCTTCCTTGAATTGTCACAACACTCCCAGATAACAATTGGGTCCTGGCCTGACCCTCTAGGGTTCATCATGATGCTAAGGCCATCTTCCTGTGTCTGTCCCTGCAGAATCATCATCATGCAGCAGCAGTAGCCAGAACCAGCTAGGGCCACAACTTAGAGTAGGGACTAGATATTTGTCTTGCTCTTCTATGGTCTTGCTCTTCTCTTCCCCTCTTCCTTTCTCCCTATTCTTCAACTGTTCCCTCCCCCAGAATCACTCAGTGTAGGATGTTGGCATTACCATGGAAATATCCCCCTCACATGGGCTCATGAGCCATGCTATAATACCCATCTGTT